GGGCGGCTCCGGGGCAGGGCCAGGGCCAGGGGCAAGTGAGACCCAGGCGGGCACCAGGTATTTATTTATTGGGTTCCTGGATTTTTGAACCTATGTGTGGAAACGCTGGCCAAGAGCCTATGCTTGTGCAGGATCCCAGCCGGTACAGACTGAGTTTATACAAGTAAAGCTGAGGACGGGAGAAGGAGTGGGGAAATCTTACCTGGTCAAGTGTGAAAGATGCTCTTTTCTTTTCAAACGCACGTTTGGCCAGCTGTTTTGGGTCCTGTAACAGGTAATTGGGACCTGAAAAAAATAAATGAAAGATTTTTAGTCAGTTTGCTGTGGAGTCTCTTTTGATTTAATTTAGACTGGGAAACTGCAGTGTAGCTTTAAACCACGAAGTGGATAGTGAACTTTTTACAGAGAGCTGTTTGCTCTGAAATGCTTTGAGTCAGCCTGTTGCCTAGCTGGCAGAATTTGAAGCAGTCTGATTATAATTTGAAGACTGGGAAAGTCAGCTTTCCATCTGCTGCAATACAGTTGCCATACTTTTTCTCTAGCCATTCAAAAGCTCTTCCAGTAAAATCAGAGGAATCAAGAGTAATCTTTCCACTGCTTTAAAATAAAAGGCATTGTGGCACAAAAATTTTTGTGCAAAAAAAAAAAATCTTTAGAAGTATGTTGATCCAGTTTTCCTATTGAAATCAAATACAGTTCAGCGCTCAGTCTTCCAGATGGCCTGGCTTTTATTAACCATCCAACTTACATGGAGAATTATCCCCTGAAATTGCTTCCCCCCCTTAAGAGGCTCTAAAAAAAAAAAAAAAAAAAAAGGCCCAAAATACTGAGTGCCAGGCTGTAAAATGTAACACTGCCATTTTTCTCTTACTTTTCTTCCAGTTTTTAAGTAGAGCTGAGTGGAGGCAGAAAGAAATGACTTAAGAGTTCCCATTTTGTTGTCCTGGGAAATGGGAAGAAGAAGCAGTATTAGCACTTCACTGGAGACCTTTTCGTTGAAAGAGTAGCCTGATTTTGTTGAAAACTCAGAGTTCATGTGGCCAGGGTGGCTGAGCACGAAAGGAAGAGCTGAGCTGAGCTGGGCCGTGTGGCTGACTTGCCGGGTGACCTCCGGCCTGTTTCTGCGCCCTGCTTCCCCGCTCCGTACAGGGATGGTCTCTCAGCTCGTTTTCCCAGCTTTTTTGAAGTCGTGGCATCCAGAGGGATGCTGGCTGCAGTGCGGCGAAACCATGAGGCGGGTGGTTAGCGATGGTGGCAGCAGCGGGGGGCTCGGAACCTTCCAGAAGGCGAGGTCCGTTGGGCGGAGCCGTTGCTGCCACTGGGTCTGTGAGGAGCCGGGGTGACAGGAGCAGCCGCAACACGCTCGCTTCTTGGTTAGTTCTCAGACCGTCGTGTTTCTCTTGCCCCTCAGCGAAGAAATAAGTGACGCATTCAGGATGTGCTTGTTTAGGAAGAATGCGTAAAATGCTTTTTCCCTGAATGAGGAGGACTGGAGCAGCAGGAGACATTATATTTATTCACAGTTCCAATCATCCTCTGCACTCAGCTCACACATACAGCCCTTTTTTTCCTTTTAGCCTTTTTCTAAGGGTTTTCATGTTTGTCAGGTGTTTTGTTGCTGCCTTCTCCATTGTCTTCTCTCGTGTGTGTGTGTGTGTGTGTGTGTGTGTGTGTGTGTGTGTGTTTTTTACTGTTTCTTTCTCAAGAGTTTAATTATGCAATCTGTACTTTCAGTGGCAAAACCAGCTTAAACGGTTTCCACCCTTTAACGTCTACAACAGTTTTTTCCTATTCCCATGCTTTTCATTGGAGGTTTTTAAACCCAGATCATTTCAGTAATCCACTTTACAGCGCAGCCTGCACACAGCTAAGTTGGCACAACCAAGGGGGTGGCAAAAGGGCAGGAGGGCAGGAATGAGGAAACGAGCACCCGGGGAAGCAGCTGTTGCCAAAAGATGTTCTTTCTCCCTCCAAATAGTATCTACTGAAACCTTGCATCTCACATGACTCTTTCTTGGGTGAGGTGACACGTACGAGAGAGGCTACTGTGGCTTCATCTGTCCATTTTTACGAAGAAGCTTAAATGTTTCTTTTCCAAAATTAAGACTAGTTGTTACAACCATCAGTTTTCCGTGTATAGCGCTTATTATTTCAGCTTCTCCCATCATTCTGTTGTAGCCTAAAATGATAACAGCTGAACAGCTTGTCCTTTGAAATAATAATAATAGAACAAGTTACAAATTATCTAATCCTAATATTTTGTATGTATATGAACACATAAATACATACATTTTCTTAAAAGTACATACGTTTGCTTATAATGGATAGTGTTTTTTTTTGTTTGGAAGCTTTTACAACACCAGCCTTATTCTCATTCATAGGTTTCTCTGTCTGTTACTTCAGGACTTTAAAAACTTTCCACAACTCAATTTCCACTTTTGCAAGGTAGCTGTGCTGAAATCATGCCCTGCAGTTGCTTTCTTACTTGTTGTGAGCGGATTTAGTTTTGTGACTGAAATCGGTCACAGTTTTTCCCCTGACAAATATTTTAGATGAAAAATGGTATTTTCATAATTGAAATATTTGGGCAAATGCACTTTTTTGCAATTACAGAACCTAAGCAAGGTTTTGTTTAGTTCAAAAACTAAGCAGAAGCAAAGTGTTTCAGAAAGATCAAAACATACCGTTTTGATGCTATTGAAAAAGATATCCTTTTTTTAGTTTTAAAACAGCTTTGAAAATTAAAAAAAATCAAACTGAAGCATTGATTTTATCAGAGTGCTATCTTTTGATTGAATCAGAATTGCTCTCCCCACATTTCACCACGGAAAATTTGGATGTCTTCTGTTCTCATTCCATTGCAGAAGGAAAAAATGTCTTGAATCACAACGTTTCCTGTTAAATGGAAAATCTAGTTTCTACCCACCTTCAGTCTATACTTTTTTCACGTCAGGATTATGAAAGGAAGCCTTTGAAAGTGTATCAAGCTGTGGGCTTCTGCCCTTCATTCCTCTTAGAATTATGCAATCATATAAGCTGCCAATTTCAAAATTCCCCATTTGGCTGTATGTCATAGAGCCTTTTCATTTTCCCAAAGGTAGTTCCTCAAATTTCTATAGCTGAAATGTGAGTTTGTTTAGTTCTGGTTTGAATTATATATTTGGTCTTCCTCAGAATATTTCATTCAAGATCCCATAGCAGACAGAAGAAACTTAGTACGCTCCCGCAGTGCTGCTTTGTGGCTCAGCAAAAGGAGCAGGGCATGTTAATTGTAGGTTTTCTGTGGCTGTTCTACAAACACAGTCTGCCCCTAGGGCCCCAGATGACACAGCTCATACTCATTTGTGAATCTCTAGAACTTGTAGAAACAGCCTGGACTCAAAGCATATACATTACCTAATTCTCCCAAATCTGTAGAAACCTTACTCACTAGAACTGCTGGAGTTTAACAGTGCTGTCATGTGTTCACAAAAAAGCTTTGCGTTAATGGAAAGTGCAGCATAGAAATGATCTTTGGTCTCTTTTATTGAAACAAAATATTTAGAATGTGGAGAATTTATGTTCTTATTCATGGAATCAATACAATTGATTGAATCAGTACAGCTATAGATAAAGCTGTCAGTATTCCTTGCATTGTGATAACTTTTGGGGTGCTACATAAGGAAATGTAAGCAGAGTGAACTAATGGATGGCAACATTGCAAAAATATGTCTGTATAGCACATTTACTAATGGCAACTTCATTTGCTGGGGTGATGCAGTAAGAAAATATTTATATTTTGAGATAAAATTAATTCTGTCTCAATAAATTTGAAATAAAATAAGTTTTGTGCTCCTTTTGCTTTTTTTTTTTTATTTGCAAGTTTGGGGCCAGCTTGACTGTCAACAAAAAGATCCATTTTTAGTACATATCCTGGAGATCTTGGTGTTTTGACTTTGCAGTAACACAAGTCTTCACAAGTCCTCTGCAATTCAGATAACATTTATTCTTTCTGTTTCCTTTCCTTCTCCTATGTCTTAGTTATACCTAGACCAAGGATTCTGCTGTGTACCTGAAGAGTTTGCAGTTGCAGGATAACTCAAAATACATCTATATAATGGACCATGACGCAAAGAATTCAGAAGGAACAAGAGCTCACAGCATAATACTATTGAGACTGACAAACTGCAAAAGCCCCCCCCCCCCCCCCCCCCCCCGAGGGATTCAGGACACTAACGTAAGTCTGTAGAAACTGTAATAAAGAGTATAATAGGTATATAGGTAAATATGACATTGAGGGGCAGACTGTGTGACTTCTGTAAAAGGAAGTCCTGACCTGGAATTCTAGAAATTTATTGGAAGGATTCAATGAGCATGCAGATAGTAGAGGTCCAGTTGGTCTACTTGGTCTACTTGGGTTTCCAAAAGACTTGACAAGCTTCTTTACTCTTTGATCTTAGAAAATAAGCAGCCATGAGAAAGAAGAAAAGTGCTTTCATGGCTGCTCTCATTAATTCCTTAAAAGATAGGAAACAGAGGTGGAAATAAATAGTTTTCTGAAGAGATGGAGTCTGTGCAATTCAGCCAATGGCACAGAAATGAAGGCAAGGAGTGAAGAGACAAAGTGCTGATGAAATTAAACTCTTCAGGGTAATGATATTAAACAATTTGGCAAAACTAAAGCCATCTGCAGAGAGCTGCAAAAGGGCCTTCTGATATTGAGTATATAAGTATGTATAAATATAGTATAAATAGCAGATATAGCTCGATGTCTATGAATATAAAATGATGCACATGGGGAAGAAACAATGCTAAATTTATGTAAACAGTGATGGGCTATGAATGACTTGCTATCATTCAGGAGAAAGATCTTGGAATTAGTTTCATGGAAACACCAGTTCAGTTTAGCACTCAGGAACAGTCAAATTAGGAACTAGAACATGAGGCATTACTAGGAAAAGAAATAGAGATAAAAAAGAAAATGAAAAGGAAACATGGTGACCTGCATATTGAGCGTTTCATGTAAGTCATGTCCTCCATCCCAAAGCAGAGATGATCAAAGGTATGGAGCTGTTTCTGTAGCAAAACTAAATAGATTAGGACTCTTCACCTGGAAAAGGAGATAATTGGCAATTCAATAAAAGTCTGTAAAATCACAGATTGCATATCAGACACGAATATTTTCATCCTCTTTTTTGTTATATTCTTTCTCACAATAGCAGAACAAGGGAGCATCAAGTTAAATTTTCAGGCAGCATATTCAAAATGAAACAAAATGAGGTATTTTTCCACAGAACATAGAGTTACATTGTGTAACTTCTTGGCATAAGTTTTTGTAGATGACAAGTTTTACATGGGTTCGAAGAGCAACTAGGTAAATTAATGGAAGGAAAATCCATGAAGGACTGGTAAGCCTAGAAAAATCCATCTTTCTCTCAGGAAATCTCTGCACCGCAGACCACTGGAGGCTAAAAGAGTATATCAGGACAGTGCTTCTACAGGCTTATTCTGTTCTTGCACTCCTCTGTAGGCATCGTTATTGTCCGCTATCAGAGACAGGATATTGGATTAAATATCTCTTCGGCCTGACCCAGGATGGTTGTTGTTATGTTGTATTTGTATTCTGAAGATAATTCATTGATGATGTATGGAATTGCTCTCATGAGCTTTGAATAGGTCATTGATGATGAATTATATCTCTCTGAGGCTTCTTGGCTGCCTTCTTTGCTCTCCTAAGTAGCTACTGAAACATCACTGTTCACATGAACTTTTGTTTGGGTAGTGTTGTTTACCCATGTTTCTTTGGAAGCTGATTTTTTCTAATCGCATTAAATAGCTCTTTTTTACCTGTTTGAAGAGTGGCAGTTACAACGATCTACTTATGTTTATATAACTGATCTCTGGCACTACACGAGAGAGTAATTCACATGCATCATGCAGAACAGAAGCCGACACTTGACAGCAGAGTTGAGATGAAACAGCTTTCTACCACTACTGTCAAGCAGATCAGAAGGGGAAAACATTTATGAAAATAGTAGTAACAGAAGAAAGATTTAACTGTAAAATCAGTAAAGATGAAAGTAAGCACGCCTGTGGACGTTATGCTGTGGTTACGCTAGGATTTTCTCTTAAAAATTTCCGAGTTTTGTACTACTGCTCTGTAGTTTCACAGGCAGCAGCAATGGTAGAAGTACCAGGGCAGACTGGACTGGTGTTTATTCCCTTCGCCTCCAGTGCTGGTGACCTGCCTGCCAGGTACGTATACACAGTAATTGAAGAGACAGAAGTATGCCCCAGCTAGCTATAGTATGGTCAGCTGAGGGCAAGCAGAGCTGTGATGATGTAGCTACATGGACTTCAGCAAGGACTTGGCACTGGCTAGTGCTGCTGCGGACCTGGGGCCCCATCCTGAAGTGTCTGGCAATCCCAGCTCGCTCTAAATAAGGTGGATTAAATGGGCACCTACTGCCTTCCTACCCCTCAGCCCTGCCATAGACGTACTGTTACGGAGGAGCCAGCCCGTGTAGTTAGTGCACATACTTGTGGAAGGGGCTAGTGGGAAAAGCCTGCCTCGGCAGTGAGAGCTAAAGGGCTTCCTGGCCATGGAAGGGAGGCATAGACTGCGAGGTGTCTGGTGTGTCAGGCAACTTGGACGCAAGAGAGAGGAAATGACTCAGAGACCGAAAATGACGACTTTCTTACTGTTTGTGAAAGGAGGGAGGGAGAGGAGGACGTGTTATCCTCGGTATAAGTTTCAGTAACAGCCTTTAATCATCTCCCCGCTTGGTGGATGCAGCGTGTGATTGCGGGGCCATCTTGGGAAGGGCTGGTGGGCTGCGACTGACCCCCGCAGCCAGAGCTGCCGCGGCCGCTAGGT